CTCTCTCTCTCTCTCTCTCTCTCTCTCTCTCTCTCTCTCTCTCTCTCTCTCTCTCTCTCACCAGTACATGTACTTACAAACAGCAGCATGATGAAGGCAGCAGCGAGGTAGGAAGTGCGAGCCATCCACATCGACACAAACCTATAGTGCTCACCCGTCACGACGTTTCGCAGGTAACCTGCGAATCAAGATCAGACCAAGGTCACGTCAAAACGATCGCCTCCTCACGATGGCCGTAAGAGTCCCCTGGCGGCCATGCTTGCCGGGTGACAGCAGCAGTAGAGGTGGAGGAGGAAGAGGAGGAGAAGGAGGCAGATGGAGGAGATGGACGGAGGAGAAGGCGGACGGAGGAGGAGGTGGACAGAAGAGGAGGCGGACAGAGGAGGAGGCGGACGGAGGAGGAGGCGGCAGTGGCGGAGGAGGAGGAGAACGACAAAGACAAGGAGCACGACGAGGAGGAGGAGGAGGAGGAGGAGGAACAGGACAAAGATAAGGAGCCCGAGGAGCACGAGGAGGAGGAGGAGGAGGAGGAGGAGGAGGAGGAGGAGAAGAACAGAGACGAGGATGAGGAGGAGGAGGAGAACAGAGGCGAGGAGGAGGAGGAGGAGAGCTCACCTTGGTTGTCTTCCTTCTCGGCGAGGCTCTTGATGCTCGCCATCAGAATGTCATCGTATCCCAGAAATTCCTCGAGCAGAAAGCGGCTGAAGACGTCGCCAAAACACGCGTCGCGATTCGGATCTGCAAGCGCAGTAGTATGATAGCGTAGTATTGTACTAGTGTAGCAGTGTAGTAAGGTAGTAGTATGATAGTGTAGTAATGTAGTAATGTAGACCGACTCTACAATACAGTAGATAGGAGCGCGCGTGCAGCAGCAGCAGCAGCAGCATGCACCATGTTACTTCACAGCCAATGCTGGTCACCCTCAGGGACCGATCGCTCGTCACGAGGACAGAGTGAGAGATACTCACCGAGTGCAATGATCATCACGGAAATATTGAGACGTTCCCTGGTGGCGGGAGAGAGTCGGAGGAAGCCATATTCCAGTGAATACTCGATTATGTACTCTTCTTCCGGCCAAACTGAAGCGGAAAACCAAAACGCTGACGCGGCTACTAAATATGAATGAATATGTGAATAAATAAATACATAAATATGAGTGCACAAATTTGATATCGATACTAACAAACTCTAGGCACACCTATACATGTACATATAGCTATACATATAAGATATGTATGTAATAGGGTACAGTGTGATACGTGTACACATGAATTATGCCGCGCAGACTCCACACGGTTCCAACGTTCACGTTTTCGCAGATTTAGAATCTCTTACACGTACATAAGAGTACTCATAGGTTACACAGTACTCTGACATTCAATTCATACATGCTCATTCATTATCTCTTTCGTATAGACACAAATAGACTCAAATCACAGCTTGTGATGCGTTCATCCACCCCATACACACGCACAATAAAGCTCTGCATGATTTACTCTGTAGCGTTAACAAAACAGAACACAATTCAAGTCATCAGGAGACTCGATAACGCCTGGACTAGTACACCCACGGCAAAACATATGTGACATAATGACAGCAAGACTTTAGCTGAACGCAGTCTTTGTGCCTCGTATCACTGACTATTGAATCAATGACTAGTGAATAAACTCTTGCACAAAGCAAGAATTTGCTGCTTCTCAGACGAGATAAACATCACGACGCAATTTCAAGGACTTTTCAGGAACAGATATTAAAACAGACCCTTTTTCAGGACTTATCAATGACACGTCCTGTTTTCCAGGTCTTTCCAAGCCTGGAAGAATTTTAAATACAATTTTCCCTGTTTTTCGCAACCCACACGAAACAAGTAACACCCACCGGCTTTCTTGAACATGTCAAAGTCGGAAAGTGTCTCGCGGAACGGGAGAATTCCCTTCTCCAGATGGACCTCCTCCTTGTCAGCATGCGACGACTCGTTCTGTGCCTCCTCCGCACTCAGCGATGCCTCCTTCATCACCCCTGTATCGACGGATCCCTCCTTCCTCCCTACATCGTGTGCTTCGATGAGTCTCTTCTTCACCCCCTCCGCTGCCTCACCCGCTGCTGGCTCACCTGTGAAAATAGAACAGAGGGTCGTCAAATTCTTAATACTATTAATCTTTTTAAGACAATCCTTTGCTTTTTAAGACAATCCTTTGCTTTTTAAGAGACTGCTTTGCATTAAATCAGAAATCGTTCGGTGTCATGGCAAGTGGAATGGGCCCAAATGTAAGTGTTTACTTTGTAGACGTGTCCTCAAAGCAAATCACTCATTAACAACATTACTGGGGACAAGGTGGAATGCATACACAACAAGCTCCACTCACACACAGGAATACATGTGGAATGCTGGAAAGCTTGCAGCAGCAAACCAGGTGAAGCAGTCAACCACAGCAGTTTATTCCCATGGATCTCATCTAATATTCAGGGGCACCACAACAAGGAGGGCAACCTTAGCACTAACTGTTGAAGCCTTCGTAAAATGCGAGGTCTATCTTCATGCTGATCGGCTGATGGAGGGGCCATGTCTATTGTGAACAGTTGAGCTCACAAATGAATCAACAATGCCGGTCCTTATACAATCACCACTATCAATCTTACCTCGTCAGCTTCTTTACGTTAAAATGAGGCAGTAGCTTAGTTTTCCTTACTTTTTCTTTTCTTTTTTATTAATCTTTACTCAATTTCCATTATTGACGTTCACTTAATCATCCATATCGATTCTTACTAAGATTAAATTAAGAGATACTTGCAGTCAGAGCTGTACATGTATGACTACTGAACATATCTGAGGGATGGTTAGCTCTCAATGAGTTATCTTGAGTAATCTTGAGAAGATATAGTATATTACATCTCGGCTGCATCTCCTAAACAACCCCTAACTGCATTTTGTGCGTACACATGTGCATTGCTTCCTAGACTTCTATCTACATACACTATCTTCCCGTTAGTAAAACTCTTGCCATTCACTTTGATTTGATCTACGTGCCCAGTGTGATTGCCAGGTAGCTGTAGGCAATCAACATTGCCATAGGGGCATCCTAAAAATCCTTCCTAGTAACAAAGTGACTCAGAGTAGACAACGTGGTGAGAACGTGTGAGAAGAGTGTAACTTGACCGAACTTGCAACGACATTCTAGCAGAGTATATCACCTCGCTCAAACGCATCAATCGATCGCCACCACGCAAAACAAGCGAACGTCGCGGTAACGTGCCGGTACCTGCTGGGTCCTCGCGCTTCGCAGTGGAACCCGCCGCCATCGCAGCGGAGACGTCCCTCCCTCGCCCCTCCTCCCATTCCTCCCCCTTGTCCTCCGCCGCGGGTGTCTGCGGCGGGTGCGCGGCGGCGTCGACACCGTCGGCGTCAACGGTCATGCCGAAGATGAGCTCCGAGTCGTAGAAGCTGACGTTCTCGTATAGCATGTCGAGGAACTGTTCGCGCTCCCGGATCTCCTGCTCCCGCTTGTAGGATTCCGCCAGGCTGCCGGGAGGGAAGAGGGAGATAAGTTATTTCTCCAGAGTTTATCACTACTTCATCGAACTAAGTTATTTCTGCAGAGTTTATCACTACTGTCACTAGTGCGAAGCGACGTCGGAATACGACAAGCCACGTGCGTGCGCATGAACACCCGCGGAAAGATAATGATGTATGCACACGAGCAACCACGCACGCACAAACACGCACACACACGCACACACACGCACACACATACACGCACATACACACAAACTAACACGCACACATGCACGCACATACACACACACACACACACACAAACTAACACACATGCACGCACGCACGCACACACGCACGCACACACACAAACTAACACACACACACAAACACACACGCACACACACCTGAAGTTGTGTCCATTGCGCACGATCTGCACGCGCAGGATTCCTTCGCGCGGCCACGTCTCCTGAATCAAGTCCAGGCAGTTGATGGGAGTGCGTGAGAAGGCGACATGTACGTAAGCCAGTATCAGTAATGCTCCAATCGCCTGCAAACACACATCAGTCACCATACGCTGTCCGCCATCACCAGAGTGCCTCGCTTGGTGCAAAGCTTTATATATATCTCGCCAATCCGGAAACCACAAAAATAGTTGTTCACGTATTTTCTTTTAGTAATCTGCTGTCAATTTCACACAGACTTTGTAGCATGGTTTATACAATGTTCAGAACTGCAGACCACAGTATACAATAAAATACAGTAATACAGCATACGATTAACTGTACTCACCTTTCTAGATTGGTAAACTCTAGTTAGCTTTATAAAGATGGTTATCTAGTTAGATTTATAAGAATGGTAAAGTCTAGTTAGCTTTCTAAAGATGGTAAAGTCTAGTAAGCTTAATAAAAATAGTACCCTTTATAAGGATGGCGATGGTAAACACTAGTTAAATTATAAGAATCATAAACTTTAGTTACATTTATAAAGACAGTAAACACTAGTTACCTTGATAAGAATGGTAAACTCTAGTGCTCGTCTGAGTGGGCGGGGCACAGCTCTTGCATATGCCAACGAGATCCGGAAGAAGAGAGCGTGGAATAATCGATCTCTGACATTGACGATAGGATTAGGGTTGTTGTTGTTGTTTCCGCCCTGACGTTGGCCAGGTTGCTGTTGAGGTTGCTGTTGTTGTTGTTGTTGTTGTTGCTGTTGCTGCTGCTGCTGCTGGTGTTGAGGTTGTTGTTGTGGCTGCTGCTGCTGCTGCTGTTGCTCCTGCCCTGGTCCCTGTTCTTGAGTGTTCTGTTGCTGCTGCTGTTGTTGTTGTTGTTGTTGTTGTTCCTGTTGTGGTTGTTGTTGTTGTTGTTGTCGCTGCTGCTCCTCTTGCTGGGTGCCTGATTGTTCTTGGTGATTCTGTTCTGTTTCTTGATGCGGCTGCTGTTGCTGCTGTTGCTGCTGTTGCTGCTGTTGCTGCTGTTGCTGCTGTTGCTGCTGTTGCT